AAAAATAATGCTAGATATGTAAATAAATTAGAATTATGTGTCTTCAATGTAAATGAGTCTATATAAAATAAACAATCCTTAATATAATTTATTAAGCTCTAAATCAACTAATTTTAAAGTACGCTTTCATTATAGCTATTAAATATACTTTAAAACCTAGTCATTGGCACACATCGCATATTCAACTCGCGTAATAACTCATAATCACTTCATTCATTAAACACGGAAACTCAACACAAACTTTTTCAAGCACAATTTACATGCTAACTAAACACGAGCCAACTTTTTATTTGATTGCCTTCAACTCGTTTTACCTTGATTTAGTTAAATAATAATATTATTGATGTGTGCTAAAAAATTCGCGGCGGTAGAGTAAATGATTATAATCTTAGCGTTGCAAGAGGATTCAACACACACTCAGATGAAAGTGAAACAACCAGTGATGACACCAGAAGTTTTTACGTGGAAAACTCGTGAAGGAAAAAAAACCACGGGGTCTGACCCAACTATAAAAATCCACTATATGTTGATGATTATAGCGACCGCTTGTCTCACAGAAGGGAAAATGTTACTAAATTTTCAGATTACAACGTCGTCTGACGTTGTCCGGTCAACGGTGGTTGGCGATGATCGACGGTGGATGACGGTCAGCGATGATCGACGGTGGTCGATGATGGTCGATGGAGGTCGACGGTGGTCGTGGACGATCGGTGGTGGTCGACAGATGTCAGCGGTGGGCGACGGTGAGCTCGACGGTAGTCGATGACAGTCGGTGGTGGTCGACAGAGGTCGGCGGTGGTCGCCGACGTTTGGTGGTGGTTGACGCAGGTCAACGATGGCAAGGAAGATGTTGGACTTGAGCTCTTTCTCAAAGTTTCAAGTTCTTTCTCAAGCCTCCCCTCTCATGTGAGGGATATGCCTCTAATTATAGTGTTCTGGGTGTAATTAATGCAGGAATATAAACTATTTTGATCAGACAGTCCAGAGAGCTTCCCTCGATCGGATGACGTTTCATGAACATTTAAGTGTTTTAACGATGTCAGAATTGAGCAATATTAGGCTCGTTGGATTCGTCTGGATTCGTCTTGGTTGGATTCGTCTTGTCGAGACGCTCGATTCGACTATGAACTCGCTAGATTCGACATCCGTTTGACCTTCCAAATGCCTCTGTAAACCCTCCAAGAGTGGTTTAATGGTTTGATCCGGGCTTGATTCGACTCTGCTTATACTAGTTTTTATATCATTGGGTCTGTTTCATCGAGCCGGTCAATTTGACTATAAGTTTGCTGAAATTGGAGCTCTGGAGGACTCTTAATTAAAATTTGAATATTTCTTGTTTAAAAATTTGCATCGAGATTCGTGTCATGTCTCGAGATTCGTGATAGATGATAAAAATTTATTGGTGTTGTATCAATTATAATATTTTTATATTATATTTAACGACAACAACAACAACAAAGCCTTAATCCCAGTGATGCGTGTTAGAAAATTCGCGGTGGTAGAGTAATGGATTATCGTCTTAGCGTTGCGCGATGATTCAACACAAACTCAGACGAAAATGAATCAACATGTGATGACACCAGAAGATTTTACGTGGAAAACAAGTAAAGGGAAAAAACCACGGGGTCTGAACCAGTTATAAAAATTCACTATAAGTTGACGATTACAGATGTCCCTTGTCTCACAGACGGAAAATAATTACTAGATTTTCCAAGGTACAAAGTACAACATCGGCCAACGACGTCTACTTGGCGGTGGTCGGCGATGATCAACGATAGTCAACGACAATCAATGACGTTCGGTGGTGGTCGACGGAGGTCAACGGTGGTTGACGATAGATGACGGAGGTTAACAGAATTCGACGGTGGTCGACAACAGTGAGCGGTGGTCGATGGAGGTCGACGGTGGTTGACGGGGGACGACGGTCGACTGTGGTTGAGGACGCTCAGCGGGTCAATGAAGGTCGGTGGTAGTCGACGATGATGGACGACAACAATGAATGGTGGTCGATAGAGCCTTAATCCCACTGCTGCGTGTTAGGAAATTCGCGGCGGTAGAGTAATGGATTATCGTCTTAGCGTTGCGCGAGGATTCAACACACACTCAGATGAAAATGAATCAACGTGTGATAACACAAAAAAATTTTACGTGGAAAACCCGCAAAGGGAAAAAAACCACGGGGTCTGAACCAGTTATAAAAATCCACTATAAGTTAACGATTACAAAGGTCTATTGTCCCACAGACGGGAAATGATTACTAGATTTTACAAGGTACAACATCGGCTAACGACGTCTAGTTGGCGGTGATCGACGGTAGTCAACGACAATCGATGAAGGTTGGTGGTGGTCGACGGAGGTCAGCGGTGGTCGACGACGGTCGGTGGTCGATGATAGAAGATGGAGGTTAACGGAAGTCGACGGTGGTTGATGGAGGTCGACGATGGTTGACGGCAGACAGCGATCGACTGTGGTTGAGGACGTTCGACGATGGTCGATGACGGTCGGTGGTGGTCGACGACGATAGACGATGATATAGATGATGTTGTACTTAAACTCCTTATCAAAGCCTCAAGTTCTCTCTTCAGTCTCCCCCCTCATGTGAGGGTGAGGCTTTATTTATAGTATTCAGGGTGCAATTAATGCATGAATATGAACAATTTTGATCAAATGGTCCGGAGAGCTTCCCTCGATTGAATGACGTTTGATGGACATTTGAGTGTCTTAACGATGTCAGAATTGAGCAATCTTGGGCTCGTTGGATTCGTTTGGTCGAGAAGTTCAATTCGACTATAAACTTGCTAGATTCGACATCCGTTTGACCTTTCAAATGCCTCCACAAATCCTCTAAGAGTGGTTTAATGATTTGATCCCGGTTTGATCTGACTCAGATTGACCAAGTTTTTATATCATTGGGTCTGTTTCATCGAGTCGGTCAGTTTAACTATAAGTTTGCAGTAATCAGAGCTCTGGATGACTTTTTATCAAGATTTGAATATTTCTTGCTCAAAATATTGTCTCGAGATTCGTGTCAGATGATGAAAATTTGTTGGTGCCATATCACCCACTACAATGGGTCGGCTACATGAATCATTTTTCCTTATTGTGTCCTATTTAGTGTCATATTTTTGTTTAGTTCTAGTAAATTAAGAACATTTTTTATACAATAAGCTCAAGTCTTCTTAGGTCTACCTCTGCCTTTCTTAACACAAGTCGAATCTAAAACATCTATTGTCCTAATCGGATCATCAGATGGTCGACGTTTAATGTGACCAAACCATCTAAGACAACTTTCTCTAATTTTGTCTGTCACAGGAGCTACACCAACCCTATTACGAATATATTATTTTGCATTTTGTCTCTAGGTCTAAAGCCACTCATCCAACTAATCATTCTCATCTCGGCAACACTTAACTTATTATTATGCTTCTCTTTTAAAGGCCAACATTCAGCGCCATAGAGCATTGCAGGTCTCACCACTGTCTTATAAAATTTTCCTTTCAGCCCAACAAAAGGCCCGGAAGCATTCCTCCACTTCAACCAACCAACTTGAATTCTACTATTAACATCCTCATCTATATCATCATCGCTTTGAACAACAGACCCAAGATATCTAAATCGTTCACATCTTTTAATAATTTGATCAACCAAAGTCACACTTTTGTCACTAGAGCTACTACTACTAAAATTACCTTCCATGTATTCAGTTTTAATTCTACTTAAATGAAGGCCTTTAGACTCCAATGTAGACCTCCATAATTCAATTTTTTTCTGGGTTTTTTCTCTCGTTTTGTCCACGAGAGGGATATCATCAGTAAAAAAACGTACATACACCAAGGTACATATTCCTGTAGATGTCCAGTAAGATCATCCATAAGTAAAGCGAAAAAATATGGGCTTAAAGCCGATCCCTACTGTAGTCCAACAAAAATAGGAAAACATTTGGTCAATCCTCCTTCAATTTGAACACAAGTAATAGCTATACATATCTTTAATGACTTAAATATAAGTCATATCAACACATTTTCTTCTCAAGAACTCTCCAAAGGATATCTCTTGGAACCTTATCGTAAGCTTTTTCTAAATCAATAAAAATCAAATGTAGATTCTCCTTATTATCTCTGAACTTCTCCATCAAACCTCTCAATAAAGGTATAGCGTCCATAGTAGGCCTGCCCGACATCCAAATTGTTTAAGAGAAATCTTTGTAATGCGTCTTAACCAATATTCAATTACCCACTCCCATAACTTTAAAGTATGGCACATCAACTTAATTCATCTATAATTATCTATAATTTGCACACTCCCTTTATTCTTAAAAAATGGGGATTAAAATACTCTTCCTCCACTCCTCAGGCATCTTTTTAGTTTTTAAAATAATATTCGCATCTTTTTAGTTTTTAAAATA